CACATCAAGCACAGCCACACCGGGGATATTAAGCAACAGCCATTCACTTGAAACAACAGGATGAAATAAACTAAAGCGAATAATGCTTACAGATACGGTGGCATAACTCATCGCTAAATTAAGATATGAAGTAAGTTGGTTAGTAATGAATCCGCGATAAGTAAAAAGGTCCACAAGTTGTTTAAAAATGCTACACACGCGACAAATTTACCGAAGATAAGAGAAATTAGGCTAAACCACGTGGTCAGTTAATAGAAGATTATTGAGGTGGGCAGAACAAACCAAATAAACTGGAATGAAATTCATCCGGGTTAAAATGACCTCGTTTACTTGTAAGTTGGTTTAGCCCAACTGCGGTGAAGAAGCATCAAATACGCAACATCAGATGACGCGTCTTCAAACCAGCATACTGAGACTACAAACTCGCAGAACTCCCAAAACACAGGTCAGTCAGAGACTCAACAATGTCGCCGTTCAACTCTGCTACACCTATCCGGCGACTGATAAAATCTACTTGCAGTGGTCCGAACTAAAAGGTGAAGGAATGTAGCATCCTCACAGCCAAGGTACTGAGTCCTTCCTATTCATTGCCTGCATCCGCTGGCATGTGTCAATAACCCGTTCACCCACATACCGATTAGTCTAGTTTAGAATAGTGAATCAATGCGTTGTACAAAATATCGGTTAGAATACGGTCTTGCCTTCCGTGCGCTACCCGTCTTTTGCTTTGTGCTACTTCGGTAAAGAGCCAGCCACTGAGCGTTAGTTCCGCAATCATTAAACTGTAGCAGATTGTCGTTGAACGACGAGTCCCTCGAGTGTTTTAATCGCGTTGTCACTCACATGGGTCACCTGGTAAACTTTCCTGACCAAGCATTGGACATTATACCAGAAAAATAGGAAGAGAAGCGATAATTAGACCTTATACTTCACCTAAACGACGATGCACGGAAAACCAAAGTGGCGGTCAAATATGAACCCAAAGGTGCAGAAATGTCATGGAGATATGATCCATTTGTGGGTCAATTACTGGCCAGTTATCGGAGATTGTCAAATGGTACTTCGGTGCCCAAAGTTGCTGAAAGCGAACTGCTTGGTGACAACTAATACTTTTCGCATTGTTACCATAAGCATTCATCATGGTCCGTGAGTATGAACTGAGCCCATTATTCAGACCCAGATGAGTTTCACCGAGTTCCACATGATGTACTCTCACATGTTTATAGTTGCAGCTAAACAATATCTAAACTGCTAACGCTGCGAAGTGTCACTGACCTCGTAATAGTAGGTTCTGTAGTTTCATCCGGAATTTGCTTTGTAGCGTTATAAGCAGGAACCACAAACAAACAGCGTTGATTGCTGTCCCGTTCGCTAACCTTAGCTGATGTCATTAAACGGACTGAACAAAAACGTCTGCTCACTGGAATACAATCAACCGATGGCGATAACCTTGGAGCTGAGGAAGTTACCAACTCCATCTTCACATATGGTTGCTTCATCAGCTTATCTAGGTGAGTGCACCAAGTGATCGGAGGACACAGTACTGGATACTAGGTTTTAATGAACAATGCACACCGATGATGCAACTGAAGGATTTGTACTATCCAGTTTACTGTACGACGGTCGAACCCTGGTAGAGAAACGGAGCAGCGTAGAATGATAATAAGCTGTTTAGAAATGGAATCCAATGTGTTTTACGGAATGATTGATAAAGCTGTCACAACTCTAGCTCCATTGCAGTTATAGACAGCTTGACTAGGAATTATAGAACGCAAGACAGTAAGGGTGTTGAGAGGCGTGTTAGAGACGAAAAGGGAAAGCAAATGAATACGAGGTAACGTTTAATTACAGATTTGCTGCAATGCCGCAGTTACATGAGTTTCTATTACAGCTGCAACGTTTAGCGTAAAAGGGCTTACTCGACGAAGTAATTGATGTGCTTGGAATTAGTGAAAAAACACGGACACTGACGCAGCAAGTTAGAAAAGAAGCACCATGACGCCGCAAACATCGAAATGTTAACGTTAAAAGATGGCTGCTTAACCGGCGACATTTCCTGGCCATCGGTTCTAGCCTTCTCTCTTCCTATGCGTTCGGTACGCATACATCACCCTCTAATCCCATACAGAACAAACGAACTAATCTGTAATGTCATTGTGATGTTGAAAAAGACATGGAACTCAATTGAATGTATAAAAATTATTAAATCGTTTAAATGAAATTTCACCAGTCCTGTTGTCGAAGTTCTTAGTGGTAAAATATGCTTTATACGTTGCTAAGAATCATCACACTTTTGCTAAATACCAGCTGTTCCTCATTTCCGTGGAGGCGATTTATCGTAGTACCACAACACAAATGTGGCTTGCGTGATGAAATATTTTGCTTACGTCCGATGAATTATAACCATGCTGGTACCAAAGCCCTGGAAAATTAGTCAAGTATAACTTTTCATTTTATAAATCATTAGACCTGATCAACCCCCATAAGCCTTTCCTTAAGAGCAATGCTTCGTTGCACGCTAGCGACAGTTTGAGCTTGTTGAGACGCCGATTTACACTGTGATGTCAATCATAAGAATTCTTCTGGACATGAAAATATATCTCCATGCCTGCTGATCATGGCTCTGTTACAGTCTATGATATTGGAAATCCTCAGCTTATCTGGTTTGACTCATGCCTAAAAGATAAAGCTTAGACACAAAGTAGTCCATCACTACTCTGCACCGAAACGAATAGTAAGCGGTGTCTTTCATTGACGAAGGCTTGGGTCCATACTATTCTTAATGCAACTAAACGACATGTGAAACCATGGTTCATCGTCCCTTCACCTTTTTAGATGACGTCAAAGTTTGCTCTTCGGTTTTAGCAAACAAATTGCAATTAAAACTGGGAAACATGTATAATTGGTAAATTATAACAAACCAGAATTAAAAGAATTAAAATCCACATGGTTAGGATGTGAGGTACACCAGCGCGTCACTAACTTGAAAACACAAGTATTTGGTAGGATGGTCCATCAGGTATACTTTCCCTCTTTCCCAAGGCGGGGGTTCGTAATTCATCATGTTCGGATCAGGCATTTCCCCTGGCCAAGTGGATGGTAAGCCACCCTGCTTGCTAGATACTTCTTGCACCAACCGGGGATAGTTTGAGTAATCACTGAGAAAATCACTCATCTCAGCTTTGGCTGGCATGATTGCAGTCGGTATAATTACTGGTTCTTCATCCAGTTCACACGGTCTACCGTCGTATTCACAACTGATCAACAAATCTCGCCAATTCCACATTAGGCCAGATCGATTAGCAAGAAAGAGCCCTCGTAGAGTGTGTTTGACTTTCTGTCTCCAATAGCCTTCTGCTGGCCGCCATCCTTTCCTCAGTTCTCCACCGTTAAGCTTTTCAATCCAAAATTCAGCACTCTGAAGATACCTGTGTTACAAATACCATGCATCAAAGGAAACTTTTAATATTACCATCCACATTAGTTGTACAGGTGAACACCTGAGCTGTGCCATGTGGCTGCCGTGGTACGGGACCACACGCATGCTCATTTAAATAGACTACAGTTCGTTATCCAAGTACGAATAAGTTACTGAACTGAGGTAAAACCAGACTGTAAAACAGAAATGGCTGTGTAAAAATGTTGTTGAGATAGTTGACCTAGGTTAAGTTAGAAATGTTCGTGTTTTTAGTCAGGTAGGGCGTGTATGAAAGACAAACTTGAAGTTCGCAAAAAAGGATAGTGTACGATGCAAAAGATGATGCACAACAGTGTTGTTGTCTACACTGATGGGCTCTGGTTGCTAGTTCTCTGAGGTTTAGTGACGTACATTTCAAGGCTTCAAGGTGGCAGCCCTTGAGACTTTTTCTGGTCCACTAAATTTTGTTACTTACCTTGCATTCCATTAACAATCGAGAACGGATGATGTTCGCCATTGATCCACTGGTGATAAAAAAGTGCCGCTGGCTTGAAAGTATTTCTTACAGGAGCGTGATTACACTTCTAGCTCTTAGCAGTGAGAGCGTTAACGTGCAGGTTGCATAAGTCAAAAGTTTATTTTTTCCAGATTTACAACCGATGTCCTCATCAGCTGATAACAGCTGCCTTGCTTTTTATTGATGTTCTGATAAGTCAACAAACCCTGAATAACCTCACTAGATTCTCCCCATCTTTTGCATGCCTTTCGCACCTTCAAAGTGAAAAGCTGTGTTACAGACTCACCAGCCACTTGATGATCCCCTGAAATTTGAAAGCGAGGAACTCGAGTTACTTGATAAACATAACTGCTTTGAAAGCTACCTGGTATGGCAAACTACCTTCATGTGGGGCCAGCCGGATGGCCCGGGTTTGCCGCGTTCCAATGTGAACTTCGGCTGCGATGTTCCCGGATGTGTGAGTTTTCGTCTAGATAGTGTTCTCCCAGTAAATTGTCACAGAAGTCCGGTTAACAACCTTGTGACTTTGTGGATATGACTCACCACTAAATAAAGTCACCGCGTCTTGCTTCTTTTCAGAGAGGCATTATAATTCCGCAGCTGTGTGCCGAAATGTTAGGTGGACTGCACCCCATTATGACCGATAGCCAATCAAAAGGCTTATGAACAGGGCAATCGGTCACCGGCTTCCCCTGGAAACGACTTCCTGACTTGGCCCCGTTTCCTTGTAGGGAGAGTCTTGAGCTTGCGGTAGATTCCGCTAACTCACCTATCTATCTCTGCCTGGGCAACCGGGTGGTATCAAGCCCGCTAAAATACATGTATTCACCTTTTTCTCACGCTTCCACTACTGTTGCATTTGTGACTAGCCAAATTTTTTCACGCAGCAACACTACGTTCGTTGTCCTTCCCCGCTCCGTTGACTCTGCTTCCTGTCCCCGTTTTGCTCTCACAAACGACGGCCTTATTTTAACCCGATCTACGTTCCGACTAGCATGCTTCAACGCACGAACGCTTATGCAGCTTGGTCCAAAAGCCGGTCTAGCGCATACCCTGGAGTCTTTTGCCAAAGACATTCACAGTGTTTTCGAAACCCAGTTGCACGATCCCAGCAAAGTATTCAGACGGACTTCCCTTTCTGAACGCGAAACCATGTACCACCTGCGTCTATCCAGTGATGCAGAAGCAGCTGCAACACAGAGGAGTCCATGGTTTCGTCATTGGGTAAGAAACTTAGCGGTTGTCTTAGGAAGCAACACGGCTAGCCTTTTGGTAGAATAGCCTTCCCGCAATGCGGCAGAGCAAACATAATGAACCGCGATCAATGGCAGTTGATGACTGATTGCTCATTTCATAAGCCTTTCGTTTGTTCTTACCATGCATGAGCTTATTGATTCACACAACTTGCCGAAATACAATGTTTTACTAGAGTGAAGCAATGGGCAGTAATTTTAGGTAGTGATCAATCACATCCGCCAAGTCGCACTGTAGTTAAACGGAAATTTGTGGCACTTCATAGGAAGACCGCTTATCAGGCGAAATCCCACCACGTCCTGGAAAAATGCAGCCGAACTTTACGCTGGATAAGGTAAATCCAAGCCACCCAGGGGGCTAGAGGAGGAGGTGGCTCTGCAAGCCAACTCCCAGTACTGGAGTTAGACTTTACACTACAAGGGAGAAATGCGCGTGCCATACCTAGACGCCTCAATTGCCGGAAGGTTCAAAATGACCTGTACGCTATGTGAGTCGTTGCTGAGCGGAGAGAGATCATCAACTTAGTCTAAGTCGGTCACGCGGTTACCCGGAAGATGCTTAACAATAAGGTTTTGGGAGTCTTCCGTAGATCAAAACAAGGAGTTCTTATATACAAAGTTGAAGGAGAATGGGAAAAATGGGCACTCTTGTCGCAGGCTACTAGTGCTAGCGAAGGGTGAGGAAAACTTGCTACGGACCCTCTTTCCCTGACTCAGGCAAGTGAAGCTCCCGAATGATAGAGGTGTACTTTTCAGGGACTCCATTTCTTATCAGACAGTAGCATAAAGCAAGCCTGTCGAATATCCAGGCAGACTAGGATGGTTGGCTGGTGGTAGATATTGCCGTGTTCAAGAATGTGGCGTGGCGTGAAGATCCGGTCCACGCATCTTAGACCTCGGCGAAGCCCAGCTACTTCTTAGAGCTAAAGTCACTCACGGGTCAACGATTGTCTAGGGAGCAGAATGGATGCCAGCAGTTTGGAAGCAAACATCACGAGACTGCTTCTCTTGTTACTGGCACATGATGTACAAACATCGTTCATGAAAACTGGGACAATGGTTAAAATACCCTAGGTGGATGGAATCTTGTCTTTGGGCCATATCTTGGAAAGCAGCAAGGTCAACTGTTTCACAAGTGCTGGAAAACAAACCTAAATATCCCCGGAGGAATTTTTCGGAGCCGAGAGACTTAAGCTATTGAAGAATCGCATCCCAACGAAGATCTCCGCTTTGTTGGGTGGCTCCATTGAAATGATTCAAGGCAAGAAACTGGATATACTTGGCATAAACGTGGTTCCTTTCTCCCTTCCTCTCCAGTTTAGCCTCCCCTAGAAATAGGAGCTTATTTATTAGGCATAGTATAACTCTTGTATGCGGCAAAATAGCTGGCTGTCAGCTGTCCGGAGCGATGTCCATCCGTTCCTGGTGACGCAAGTAATATGCCTATGTTGCAGGTTCTTTTTCTTTAGTATTGCGGCACAGTTGCTGAGGTGCCCTCCTATGTGGCTAAGGTGTCTAATTATGATGCTGATGACAAGCGGACAATGGAAGAAGATCGAATTTTGAGTGAAAACGTTCAAGCAAACGCTCCAGAACTCTTGGCTGGTTAATGCCTCTGTAACCATCCGCTTCACAGATAGCCTCGCTGACACTAGGACTGCTTGGGCCGGTGAACCGGATGAAATAGAAGGGCTTGTAGAAATTGCCGGAGAAGGAAGCGATCAATGTTCCCGAGGCACGCTGGAACCATCAAGTTTCGCGGTCATTACGCAAGCTTTGTTTGAGTTGCCGAGGGAGAGTCTAACTCATAAAATTATGAGCTGACTTTGGTGGCACTTATCCGCGGCATTTGAACAGTTCCAACAATCGAGCGGAAATCCTATTTTGCAATGAGTGTTGGGTGAGACCACACATCGATTGATCAGAAGGAAGCATCGCTTAGTTCAAACAAGCCTAATGATGCATAACATCCTAAGGTGGACTACAGGTGAGCATATCCGATAGCACAGCTTGATATCCCAGTTAAACAGAACGGTCAGCTAACCTGTTTGTGTCATTCTTATGGATCAGTTGTTTCCGGGGCCCACTGAAACGCATACAGGTGTTCGCACAAACCAGCGCGTGACCGGAGTTAATGTAGGTTGATCAGAATTGCCTGAGGTCGTGTTTACTACATCACCAACGGAAACTGGTTGCGACGTGTTCGATCTTGGACAAGCACCGTTGACGACGGAGAGGGCCAGGTTGAGGAATATCTCTTGTTTTGTCTGAAATTGGTACTTGAGCGAAACTTTTGGTTGTCCTCTCCCAATGTGAGAAGTCGATGTTCATTATCTGGTCGTCTTTGGGTAAGCGCGTTATGGCCTCCAAGGTAGCTTTCGTAGGAAAGAAAGCGAACGATTCTTGCATTAAAATCGCCAGAAAGTATAACGACGTCCAACTTGTACTGCCAGAATTCTCGACAGCCACTGATCACGCTGCTCATTGGGCTGTCCCAATGGGTCCATCCTCTCACTCAGAAGTCGAACGTCAGATCGGACTACTGAAGTTGCATGAAGCCACGGAACCAAATGATCTTCCTCCAGCTCTCTTCAAATTCTGCGGACGGGCTCTTGTCGATGATGTACACTAGTTGCTAGTGAAAGTGTGAAAGCAGAACATTGTCCCAAACCACTGGGGCCGCTTCTTCGTGATCCCAACTTTTAAGGGAGACTGACGATCGGAATACGGCCATTAAGGAGGACTCATTTTGACTCCATCGCACCCAAATTGATTGACTTTGCCTTTCTTCACAGACTGACGGTCACTCGGGAAAGCCAGATTTGTGAAGAGCAAGCCGAGTTGCGTCGACATTGCGACTAGATCTACGACATCTTCACTTTACATCCGAAGTTGGAGCACCGTCACATATCTTGGCGGCCATCTGTTGTCATGTTGCTGGACATCAAAAATGTGTCTTTGGTTCTGGTGATCGATGTGCACTTTGGAGCTGTCTGCTCAGGAAAGATGTGCCTGAGAAATACGTAAATATTATCTGAGTATTATACGCTCGTAGCTCGGGCAGGATAAAGTCTTACGGTAAGCTTCCGCCACTTTTA